AACTGAAGCTATGGTAATGTTTTCATTGGATGTTTGACCTTCATTTAACCTGGCTGTTCTCCATTCATACATCCACTGAGATCCTTCTCCTCCTGGGATCTCACACCGGAGAACAACTTTCTCACCTTTGTATATGAGAGGCCAGCTTGGTCTCAGGGTCACAGTGGGTTTTATGAGGCCCTAAACAGAAGTTCATCAGGCAGCTCATCTCCATTCTTGTCCCTCTTCCACCACATCAACACTATTACCAGTGACTGACTTATTTCCTTGTTCTAACCATAAACCAACTCATTTAAGAACCAATTCAAACCTTCACAACAAATTAAAATAACATCATAACAGGCTGTGTTTTGCTTGGCACTCACATTTTTCACCAAATAAATAGCTCTTTACCATCCACTTTTTTCACTTACACTTTTAAAAACACTGAGCAAAATAATTTGCTATAACAATCATTCTCTTCATTTTCTTTAGGTAAATAGCGACTAAAGCAACATTTTCATCTGGTAAAACATTTTTCAGCTGTGGACAGAATTTTTGTAGCTTTCTGTGCATTTTTACAGTTAAGTGGACAGAATGTGATAAAATGGGAGTTAAAACAGCTTTTTAAACACAGAGATGCTTTCCTGTCAGCTCATGGTATCGTGGCTTAATTATTGGTGTTGATCTCTTAAATGTTCATTTATATTCTCAGAGTTTCCTGTGTTGTCACTCAGTCTGCAAAACAGCTAAAATCTTATCGGTCAAACATTTGGCGTCAACCTTCACAAATATTGACAGGAACATTCACATACATTAAAAAAAGACGCGTATGTCTGCAGTACAAGAATAGAAAACAGCCAAACAAGAGCAACAGTTCACCACACAAAAAATAAAAAAGATTTCAGATTCAGAAAATATAATAAAATATATTGCTGGTACCGATTCACTGGACCAGTGTATGAAGGTTTTGTGGTGGCACTCGTCTCATAATGCCCCCTTAATCTTTTTGGGTTATTAGGTAAAGTTGTTACGAGGCTAGTTAAGGTTTTTCTACACTTTCTTGTTTCTGTTGTGAACAAATGACTTATTAATACAATTTGCACCAACAGTTAAAGAGAAGCTACAATTACATTTATTTTACATTCAAGACATGTGTCTCACCTTGGGCGAATCCACTGATGACTGAGCTGAACACTGTACAAAAAAAGAAACATTTACAAAAAAGTCAGAACAAAGGATAAGTTAACAAAGACAAACTGGTATGCCATGCACCGGCGCCACCGGGCCCTCTGACACGTCACCAGGCAAGGCGGGAGAAGTGTCAACGATAGAGGCGAGTGGAGCGGGGATCGAACCAACAACCCGGACTGTGGGCCAAATAGGACCCGGAGGGAACCCACGCCTGCACAGGGACTCCATGCAGAAAGACCCTGAGACGGGTTGTAAAGCAACTCTGCTACTAACTGCTACCACTGTACAACCCCGTTTATTAGTCATGTATTTTTAAAGTGAATAAATTTACTTACAGAACAGCACGTAAAGCCAAGCGTGTCCCATCCTCACATCTCGACCTGCTGAACAACTATAACCAGGAAGCCTTCTAGCTTGTGAAAAAAATAAGTTTCGAGTCTTCTTCTTCTTCTTCTTCTTTTTCTTTTTCTTCTTCTTACGTGTTTCCTCTCCATTACTCAGAGTTTTAAAAACTGCAGCAGCTCAGACCGCAGCAGTTACTCAATACATTTATACTTCCTGTCCACTGCCCTCGTAGCGAGATGATGCTACGTGTGAGGTCTGAAAAATAGATGTAACCTATGACAACATTAATGGTGCTGTGGTCTGTGTGTAGAGTCATGGTGACAATTAGAACAATGAAGGACTGCACTACTTTGAATTTGATGCGTGTTTTTTAGGCATAGCATCCGACTTTATTGAAGTCAATATTAGTTGTGAACAATTTACAGGGTCACACTGGAGAAAGACTAAGGGAGAAGATTAAAGAGATACGACATCTTTGACAGAAACCAATGAGATTACATCAAATCTGACAATACTGCTACCTTTCTGTGTGACTTCCGCCTTGAAAGCTTTGAGTTAAGCACGATCGAGCAACGTGACGTTTAGACTTGACGCTTACCTTGGTTCCCGTTCCTCCGTTTTCTCTGAAAGTAAGTTATTATCTTGTAAATATCTCTAAATGATCCAGTTTGAGTGAAAGGCAGCGTGCGCGATCCGCGCAGAGATGCGCGACCACGAGCCGCGACAGAGCGCGAGACCAAGGCGCAGGAACGGCGTATCTGGCGCCTGCCCTCTCGCGCCCTGTTCATTGCGGCTACTATAAACCTATATGAGCTTCATATGAGGCATCTACGTTACATTAATGCGTTAAAACCACATGTTGAATGTGACGTGAATGTTTCTCCTCTGAACAGTGTTAGTGAAATAAAGACATTCCTCTGCAGTCACAGCAGTGTTGCATTGTGGGAGCTGTCCAGTGCTGAAACTGACAGCAGGACCTCACATTGGTGTTGGTGTTTTCTTTTTTACAAACAAATAAAACACAAAATATACATTAAAATGTGACACATTTATTAAATGTAATATGTTTGTAAAAAAAAAGTAATGAATAAAGACAGCTCAGCTGTTTCTAATGCTTAATCTAAGAAGAAACACCGTTTATTTTTTCACCTATTAACAGCCAATTATTCCCATCTTTTGTCTTCAGCATTGTAGAAATAGGAAACAACAAACATTACATGAACAGAGCAAAGAAAAGTTATTAAAAAATCCACAGTTCTTAGACTCCAGTATAATACAAATCTATGTTTATTTCCAAAAGACAGAATTTAATATTGTCTTATAGCATTACTTTTCCTTAGTAGAGCTAAATATCTTTTAAATGTGTAATAGAGAACATAAATGATCATCCAGTAATTCCACGTTATAAGAATACTGTATATATCAAATATGATTTGAAAAGCCTTGAAATTGGGTGCCTGTCTCTTTAAAACTGCTCTTTGTGAAACTCTACCATTGCATCAACGCTTCTTAAGTTGTTGTTTATGTATGATTTTGTATATCACGTTGCATAAACATACATCCAGTGAGTTTTTAATTAAATGGAAGAGATGTAACAACAATATATGGAGAAATCTACAAGTTACCAAATGTGTCCTGGTAAAACATAAACTATGGAGCTAAAAATGGTCAAAAATAAAAATACATAAAAATATTTTTATATCCAATTATGTTTTTTTTCTGGATTCAAATAAAACAAACAGTGCTAATATATCTTTACACAAAGCATAGAAATGGATTTTCTTGTTCAGAGAACAACTATAAACATGAGAAGTGCTGCATTTTTGATGTTGCTATTATAAAAACTCAGTTCAGTTCAATCTGAACCACCAGAAAACTGACAGGCATTTTGATTTCATTCCTGATCAGATTTCAGAATAAACTGCAGCAGGATTCCACTTTCCTGTAAAGAAAAGGTGTGAGAACGTAACACATTTTGTCATCATTTGTAAAAACAATTTTAACCATGAAAACTTTACAGCAAATTTTCAAAGATTGACAATGTTTTTATATTTTACTCTATATTATAAAGTAGCAGCAAATTTTTACCTCTGGATATGAAAGTCAAATACAAAAAATATGTATATATTTAAATACATATAGTCACTTAACAAATTACTTATTATAAATTCTATGAAATGACATTGAATATTTACAAATTCATCTCAATGCAGAGTTCACATACCTTGTTGTTTTCTTCTCACTATAGTGACTCTTTTAGC